CCTCTCTCTTCCTCTCCCTGGATCCGCCAAGCAGACAATGTGATGCTCAACATACACCAACGACATCTCCAAACGGCTAAAGCCTTGCCAAGTGATTCTGTCCGGAAACCGTTAAAAGCTGGAATGCCCTGGCTGTCAGGATTGTCAACAGGGGCTGACTGCCAATCGAAGGAACAATGATCAAAGAAAGCAGAGCTTTATGTGCTTTTGTGATAGGTCTTGAGTTAAGGTTTTCCTTTATCCTTCTGGAGCAGACCTTTCTCCACCCTCCTAAGATAGACTTTTTTCTGGGAGATATGCCTTTCCTACCTATAACGAGATGCCGGAATTTTTTAATGCGCTTTCGCCGTGACACACCGATGGAAAGATAATTTACAAATATGGAAAGGGGAAAATAATTGGTCAGTGCACCGGCTGCTGGTGCGAAGATGCGTTTTTTGCACAGTTCCCTGCAGGCTTTTTGTCGCTAACGGCATTGTGTTCTTTTTTCGGCAGACGCTTCTAGCTAAAAAAAGTTGAGAGTGACTGCTGGGACTGTCAGAAAACGTCCCCTGAAATTTCAAACTTTCCAGCTTTTCTAGTTCCCGAGTTAGCAGCTTACTCGCTCAAAACTTTGATGGGCCCGTACGTGGGAACCACATGGGCAAGAGGGCATATTTTTGAAGATAGGGGCCTGCAGATTATGTTCCCAAAGTTTCAGCCTTGCAGTTTTTGTAGGTCTCGAGATGAAAAATTGATACGGATGAACACACAAACATATCGCGACCCTACAAGTTAATATTCTTAGACTAGTGGTATGCCCTGTGTGTAAGAGTGTGTAGGTGCGTATGGTGCCTCGTCCTATATACATATTTATTAATAAGCAGAATATTCAAAAGATAATACAAAAAAAAAGCTGAAGCTCCCCAGAGCAGGAATAAAAGCAAGATAGGCTAAAAGCCCATGAGGAGTTATCGCATACCCGCTGATGGGAAGAAGTGCTTCTATACCCCAGGGATCAGAGATTACTAAGATATCGAAAGTTTAACGAAGGTAGGGTGTCCAAAGTTTGAACCAAGGACAGGGGCATTGCGTCACAGTAACGCAGTTGTTCTTTAACCTATTTCTAACAAAAACCATCAATCACTATTTGATCTATTATACGAAAAACAACCTCTTGACAATATGCATTTTTGCATTGCATAGATGCAAAAAATGCATAAAAATTCGTGAAGAAAAATTAACCTTTATTTTGTCAATGATCAGCAACAGTGTCTCATATTCTTTCATTTCTTCAACAATCGAATTTACCACTTTCAGCATTTCACTGTAATCTGCTTCTAGCCGTTCCCGTACAAATGCTCGGTATTTCTCGTACTGCTCGCTTTTCGTCGACATTTTCGATCAACGTGAGAGAAAAGGTGGAATCCGAAAAGCTGCTTCTCCACGTTATTTCCTGTTGCCACGTATCTCCACGTGGTGGTGTACGTAGGGGAGTCACGTACCCGACAGGGGGTGTACGTGACGTGCACGGCGATTTGACGGGGAAGCTTCTTCTGGCTCCTGTAAAATGATAATTACAGCTATGAAAATCAACAATCGAACGGATTCGCGAAGCCAGGATATAGGCGGATCTGAGGGGCGAAGGGGAGTCGCCCGCCTCCCCCTCCTCCCCCCTCCCCGCAGTGGCACAGGCACCAGTGCTGCAAAAACTCGGGTCTAAAGCTAAAACTAAAGCAAACCAAAGCCTAAAGTAATTCTAAGTAGCAGTGTTACAAGTAAAGTATAAGTAGTAACGCGCACTAGATTAGCCGGTGCGGTCATGCGTTTTGTGCAATTTAGCCCATCGAACGATTGCCCATTAATGATTTTTACTGCTTTGTACTTTCGTCTATGCAAAAATAATTCAAAAATTGGAAAATAGTTAAAAATAGCACGCACCAGCGCATGAAAACTGAATTCGAAACTTTGAAGGTGAATATCTTTCCGTGATTCCCTAGTTAATCGTTTAGCCGTCACAATTCTTACAAGGCCGTAGGGGATACTTAACAGCGAAGGAACGCTGGATTTGAACAAGGAAGAATGAGCGTGGGCAGGGAGTTATTACCCTAAAATTTCAGCTTCCTAGACCCCGCGGTTCCCGAGATAATAATTTACCCGTAAAAACTTTCACTAGCCCGTAGGCGATACCCGAGAGCGCGGGAACGCTGGATTTGAATGGGCAAGGTTGGGCGTAGGCAGGGGGTCATTACCCTAAAATTCCAGCCTCCTAGACTCCATGGTTCCTGAGATACTGATTTACCCGTAAAAAAATTTCACGGGGT